TCCCTGTCCCTGTCCCTGTCCCTGTCCCAGTGCCCAGGGAGCTGCTCTGGTTTCAGAGCCTGGCACAGGGCACAGCCATGGGTTCTGTCCCTGTCCCAGTGCCCAGGGAGCTGCTCTGGTTCCAGGGCACAGTGAGCCCTGCACAGGGCACAGCCGTGGGTTCTGTCCCTGTCCCTCTCCCTGTCCCTGTCCCTGTCCCTGTCCCTGTGCTCCCGCCGTGTCCCGCAGCAGCCGGGCGGGGCCGGCCCAGCGCTCACCATGGCTACCCAGCCCCGGCGGAGGCATGCGGGCTCGGGGGGAGATGCCGGCCCCTTTCATGCCGCAGAAAGCCGCGACACCGGGGCTCTGTTGTTGGATGTCACCGTCTCCCTCCCACCGGCGTGAAAAATCAATTAGGAAGAATTAGCGACGTGTCGCCGCGGCTCGGGAGGGGACAATCGCGGGGCACTGTGTCCCCAGGCCCCGGCAGCGCTCCAGCCGCAAAGGAGGGATGCCCAGGCACCCAAATCCCTCGGGATGCGGATTGCCAGGGAGCGGGGGTCACTCCCTGCCTCGCTTGCTCCATCCCTGGGAGGGGTTTGGCAGCATCCGCGGCTGGAGGTGCCGTTCCCGCGGCTCCAGGGCTGGAATGGCTCTCTGGGAATGTGGCTCGCACCCTGTCGCCTCTTTTCCCTCCTCTTTCCATGTGCGTGTGTGTATATATAAACCAGAAAAGGAAAAAAAAAAATTCCCAAACTCTGATTAAAATCCCTTTTTTTATTCACCTGCCCATCTTTCCTGTCTGCGTCTCCCCTTCTATCCAAACTCATAATTAATCGCTCAAGGCAAAAGTAATGAATGTTAATTGGCCATCTGTACAAAGACTAATTAAAATCTACCATGCTGGGGATTAAAACATACCTATAGCAACTGCCTGAATTGAGAATGAGACAGAGGAGAGATTGAGAAAACAGCTGAAAGGCTTGTGCAAAACGCAATCTCGCTTAGGTGTGAGATGAGTTGCAGCTCCGAGATCTGAGATGCTTTATTATTAAATTAAAAAAAAAAACAAAAAAAACAAAACAAAACAACCAACCCAAAAACGGGGAGGGGGGGAGGGTGGGGAAGAAACTTCTGAGCTGGGAGCTGGTTTAATGGGAAGAAAGGCCGCGGGGGATTTCAAAGGAGGAGTGACCCCAACATTTCGCGTCGCGTTTGGAAGAGGATAAAAACTGCCCGCTCCCCTCCCCGCCCGCAGGAAAGATTCGGTGGCGTTCGCAGCTTTTTTTAGGGTTTTTGGCTGTGAACGAGCCGCGCCGGGGACCGGCAGTGGGGAGAGCAGCACGGCACGGGTTTGGGGCGAGGATGGAGCAGGCCATGGGGCTGTGCCCGCCCTGCCCTCGCCGCCCCGTTCCCTCCTTTGTCCCAAATCCGCGGCTTTTCAGCGCGGCCGCCCCTTTGTTGGGAGGCTTTGGAACCTGGGGGAATGTTCCCAAACGAAGAAGCGGCGGTGACGGTTCCCAGAGAGGCTGTTCCTCCTCCTCCTCCTCCTCGGGGCTGCGGCCCCCCGGACCCCCCGGACCCCCCGGACCCTCCCCGCGCTGCTGCCGAGCCGGCTCCGTCCCACCTGGCCCAGGTGTCCCCTCCGGCGCTGGTGACACCGCTGGAGGTGGCAGGAGGGGACCCCGGGGGACGCTGAAGGGTGACAGGGAGGCTGCACCCTCACTCCGAGCAGGCTCAGGGCAGCTCCGGGATGTGCAAAACTCCATTTTTTTTTTTTTTTTAAGCTCAAAAAATCAGAACCAAGCGGCCACGGTTTGTGCTGGAAGTCACCGAGCTGCGGCTCCACCGCCGCGTGTCCCCGAGCTGCTGCAGGCCAGGGATGTCCCCACCCGTCCCCTGCATGTCCCAAACCTCCCCTTCTGAACCCCGGATCGCATCCCAGAGGTGCCGGGTACCCCCGGGCAGTGCCCCCCATCCCTGCCGGGGGTTTTCGGGCTGGGCGGCGGGGGCAGCGCCCCCGGCAGCGGCGGGGCTTTGCCGCCGTGCCGGGAGCTCGGGGCTCTGCTCTTGTTTTCTCAGATTGGGCTGTGTTTACTCCCAACACGAGTGACCGCCGTGGCCCCATTACGGCGGCACTGACAGCTCGGCTGACAAGTGCGCTCGCGGCAGGAATGTGAATGCGGCTCCCGGCCCCGAGCGCGGCTCCCTCCGCTCCAAACCCGCGGGCACGGCCCGCCCGAGCAGCCCGGGAGCCACACGGGGACCGACACGGGCTGCGAGGCACGGGGAGAGCCGCGGGATCGCCCCTTCCCTCCGAGCTCGGAGCTGGGATCTGCCAACAGCATGGGAAGGACAGGGATGCACTGGGATTACCAGCACAGGAGGGATGGGAATGGTTTTCTCTCCCTTTCTGCCTGAACTCAGAGCTGGGATCTCCCAACAGGATGGGAAGGACAGGGATGCACTGGGATCCTCAGCACAAGAGGGATGGGAACGGTTTTCTCTCCCTTTCTGCCTGAACTTAGAGCTGGAATCTCCCAACAGGATGGAAAGGACAGGGATTCACTGGGATTACCAGCACAGGAGGGATGGGAATGGTTTTCTCTCCCTTTCTGCCTGAACTCAGAGCTGAGGAACCTTCAGGGCCTCCTGGCATTCCAAAGTCCCTGGAAGGACAGGGATTCATTTGGATTACCAGCACAAGAGGGATGGGAATGGTTTTCTCTCCCTTTCTGCCTGAACTCAGAGCTGGGATCTTCCCAAACCTGCCTGGATCCCAACAGGATGGGAAGGACAGGGATTCACTGGGATCATCAGCACAGGAGGGATGGGAATGGTTTTCTCTCTCTTTCTGCCTGAACTCGGAGCTGGGATCTGCCAACAGCATGGGAAGGACAGGGATGCACTGGGATTACCAGCACAGGAGGGATGGGAATGGTTTTCTCCCCCTTTCTGCCTCCTTACCCTTTCAGAGCTGGCATCTTCCCGAGCCTGCTGGGATCAGCATTGCAGCAGGATGGGAATGTCAAGGATTCTCTGGGATTATCCCACGCCTGGGAAGGTTTTGAGGGCAGGTGGAGGATGAGGAGTGCAGGTGTGCTGGATGTGCCTGGCTGATCTGGTGTTGGATTAAGTTTTAAATTTAGAGATTGGGGTAATTGAGAGGTGTTTTAAAAACTGCAGCCCAGGGCAGGGGGTTGGGGCTGGAGGGGCTTTAAGGTCCATTCCAACCCAAACCGTTCTGGGATTCCAGGATTCAGGGAAGGAGGCTTGAAAGGCACCAGGATGAGCAAGACAGAGTCTGGCTTTGGGGTGGTGTACGGAAAAACCAAGGGAAAATCACTTTTCCCACTGGGGAAAACAGCTTTTCCCACTGGGATGGGGGTGGCTGTTGGTCTGCAGGGCCCACTCCAACCCCTGGTGGGATTGGTGGGTCCAGACCAGCTCCAGGAGTGATGCCAAAGTCAGAATCAAGCCCTAAATCCAGCTTGGATCCAGCCCTACTCTCAGTCTGGATCTAGCCCTACTCCCATTTTGGACCCAGCCCTAGTCCCAGTTTGGATCCAGCCCTAGTCCCAGCTTGGATCCAGTCCTAGTCCCAGTTTGGATCCAGCCCTACTCCCACCTTAGATCCAGTCCTAGTCCCAGTTTAGATCCAGCCCTAGTCCCAGTTTGGATCCAGCCCTAGTCCCAGTTTGGACCCAGCCCCAGGCCCAGCCCAGCTCCAGCCCAGCTCAGCTGTTCTGCCTGCCCAGCTCAAGGTGGTTTAATTAATCACAGATCGTTTCTGCACTGCCTCCCCATTAACCTCCACAGCAAACTAGCTAATTACTCATTAAGGCAGGGAAGCTCTCTGGGCCAGGACAGCTCGGCACAGAGCTCTGCTCTGCTCGGGCCTGGGTTAATCTGTGAGCTCCTGGCTGGCCTCGTTACTCATTAGTGGGGCCCTGACTCATCAGAGGTTTGGGATGAGGGGACCTCAAGGATCATCTTGTTCCATGGCAGGGACACCTCCCACTGTCCCAGGCTGCTCCCAGTGTCCAGCCTGGCCTTGGGCACTGCCAGGGATCCAGGGATTCTCTGGGAATTCCAGCCCAGCCCCTGCCCACCCTCCCAGCCAGGAATTCCTTGCCAAGATCCCAGCCCAATCTGCCCTTTGCCAGTGGGAGCCATTCCCTGTGTCCTGTCCCTGCAGGCCTTGTCCCCAGTCCCTCTGCAGCTCTCCTGGAGCCCCTCCAGGCCCTGCCAGGGGCTCTGAGCTCTGCCTGGAGCCTTCCCTTCTCCAGGGAACATTCCCAGCTCTCCAGCCTGGCTCCAGAGCAGAGGGGCTCCAGCCCTGCAGCAGCTCCGGGGCCTCCTCTGGGCTCTCTGCAGCAGCTCCACGTCCTCGTGCTGTTGGCCCCAGGGCTGGGGCAGCTCTGCAGGTGGGCTCTCACCTCCCGTGCTGGTGCTGCTCCTCAGGCCACCAAAGCCAGGGGGGACATGGCTGAAAGTGGGTCACAGGGCTGGCAGCGAGGACAGAGGGACAGGAGGGGACATGTGGTGGCTCCAGCCCCCGGGAGGAGCCTCTGTGAGCTCCCAGCTCAGCAGAAAGGGCTTTGTTGTTCCAGCACTCCCAGGCTCAGCCCTGCACACCCCAGCACAGCTCCAGGACACCCCAAACAGCTCCTTTGGATGGAGGACGTGTCTCCAGGGCCATCTCCAGGGTGGGGGTCCCTGTGTGGGCCCCCCTGGCAGGGGGAGCAGCTCCTTCACCTTTGGCCCCGGGCAAAGGCAGGCGCTGTTTGCCAGCCCAGAGTGGGCACTCGGTGTGTGGAACAGCCAAACCCAGCATTCCTGGCCTCTGGAAACGCGAGGTGTCCTCCCCCCTCTGGGAAAGCTTTGGGATGGGGCAGGGAGCTCCTGCTGAGCCAGGGCCGGCCGCCCGGCCTTGGGAGGTCAGGGGTGAGCCGGGTTTCATTTTGGCAGCTTTGGGGGGGGATTTAGGGGCTCAGCCCCGCTCACAGCCAGGGAAACTAAACCCAGCCACGGCTTTGGCTCTGCCTGACCCGGCTCAGCCCACCCCGGCACGGCCACAAAGGGCACAGTGTGTCCCCAGCGCGGGGAGGGGGCTCAGGGGGGTCCCCCGGGCACCTGGGGAGGGCGGTGTCACCCCAAAGCTCGGCACGGAGCCCTCCCCTCCCGCCCCAAACTGCTCTGGGGGCCGTCACGGGGCTTTCCGTAGCATTTTTTAGGGATTTCAACTGAGGAGGCACCTGCACAGCTCCTGCTGCAGCTTTATCTCCCTGGTCGGGGGGAAGGAAAAGGGGGAAAAGCAGGAAAAGGGATAAAATGCCCCACACAGGGTTTTGCTGCAGGAGCCAGGGTGGGAAGCTGTGGAATTTGGGGGGAAGGAAAAGGGGGAAAAGCAGGAAAAGGGATAAAATGCCCCACACAGGGTTTTGCTGCAGGAGGCAGGGTGGGAAGCTGTGGAATTTGGGGGGAAATCAGAACTGCCTGGGGGGACACCCCAGGGCTGGAGGGGTTTTGGGCTTGAAAGCTGCACTGGATTCCCAGCAGGGAGAGCAGAATCCCTGGCTCTGTCCGGGATGCAGGAGAGGCTGGCTGGCTCATTTTGGGGTCACTCACCCCCTGCAGGGTTCACCCCCAGCCCAGGACACAGCGGCTCCCCACGGGACACACCTGCCCAGGTGAGCTGTGGGAATCAGGAGAGCTCTGCAGAGCTCCAGACTCCTTTATTTTTAACACCCTTTTGTATTTCCCTTACTCGAGCCTCCAGCAAAGCCCCCGGTGCCGGGACGCGATCCCCAATTAAAAAATGATCCCAAGGGATGGGTGCAGAGGCAGGAGGGGGCTGCGATCCCGCTCCATCCCCTCCCAACACGCTGCTCTGGCAGAGGCATTCCCGAGCTCCCCGCTCCAGCCGGGCTCTGTTCCCCGGTCTCGGCACGCCCTCAGCTGGCGACTGAAAATGCCGGGAAAGGGAAAGAAAAACTTCCAGGGCATTTGGCCTTTTCATCGCGCAGAACCCACGGGGCACGGGCGTTCCCTTCCCCGGGAAGGGAACGCCGGAACCCAGGGAGTGAGGGCACCCAGAGAACCCTGGCACCCGCAGGGATGCTGGCACCCAGGGATGCTGGCACCCAGGGGATGCTCGTACCCAGGGGATTGTGGTACCTGGTTGATGTTGGTACCCAGGGGATTTTGGCACCCAGGGGATTCTGGTACCCAGGGGATGCTGGCACCCAGGGGATTTTGGTACCCAGGGGATGCTGGTACCCAGGGGATGCTGGTACCCCGGGAATGCTGGCACCCAGGGGATTTTGGTACCCAGGGGATGCTGGTACCCAGGGGATGCTGGTACCCAGGGGATGCTGGCACCCAGGGGATTTTAGTACCCAGGGGATGCTGGCACCCAGGGGATTCTGGTACCTGACTGATTTTGGTACCCAACGGATTTTGGTACCCAGGGGATTCTGGTACCCAGGGGATATTGGCATCCAGGGATGCTGGCACCCAGGGGATGCTGGTACCCAGGGGACGCTGGTACCCAGGGCATTTTGGTACCCAGGGGATGCAGGTACCCAGAGGATGCTGCTAGCCAGGGAATGGTGATGCCCAGGGGCTGCTGGCACCTGGGAGTGCTGATACCTGGTGGAGGTTGGCATCCAGGTGATATTTGTACCCAGGGGATGCTGGTACCTCGTGGATGTTGGTACCCTGGCGTGGAGCCTTAATTTCTTTTTCCAAGGTCGGGATTAAATGTGTGAGACAGGATTTTGTGTTGGGACCCAGCTGTTTATCAGTTCTTATCTCTGTCAGAGTCTCACAAACCCTGAGTTCTGCAGCACTGCACTCTCACACACTAAAAATGGAGCCCATCTCTCTCTCCAAGGCCTTTTAAGGATCAACTGTCCAATTAAGGAACGTCACCTCAATTATTTTTACTTTTAACCCAATAACCAACCCCCCGGGCCCGCAATGGGGGCTTTTTATCCAATCACACAAAACCACCCAAAGCCAGGGAGGAGAAGGAGAAGGAGAAGGAGAAGGAGAAGGAGAAGGAGAAGAAGGAGAAGGAGAAGGAGAAGGAGGAGAAGGAGAAGGAGGAGAAGGAACCTCTGTCCTAAAACCTCCATCTATTACTACATTCTAAACCCCAAACTCTGAGTTTCCCACACTGTGACATCACACACTTCTATCCAAACCCCACACCCACAATCCCAGCTCTCCCATTCCATTTTGGCAGCCTCTCCAAGGCCCCAGGTCGGTGCAGTGTTCTCCTGGGGGTCAGGGCCTGGCAGCACAGAAAGTCTGGAATTCTCAGTGCCCAGAGTTCCATCACCCAGGGGATAATGACACCCAGGGGATGTTGGTACCTGTTGAATGGCTCCTGAAAATGACCCAGGGCCAGCACAGGGGACATGGACCTGTCCCAGCAGGGTCAGAGGAGACCCTGGATCTGCTCTGGAGCCAGGCTGGAGAGCTGGGAATGTTCCCTGGAGAAGGGAAGGCTCCAGGCAGAGCTCAGAGCCCCTGGCAGGGCCTGGAGGGGCTCCAGGAGAGCTGCAGAGGGACTGGGGACAAGGCCTGCAGGGACAGGACACAGGGAATGCCCTCAGGACAGGAAGAGATGGGATCTTGAGAAACTCTGAGATTATTTTATGCAGAGAGCCAGATTCCAAAATATTCCTGCTCAAGAGGGGATGGGGAAACCCCAGGAATGCAGGGGAGGAGAGGGGGGATATTTCTGCAGCAGCAGCCAGCCCAGGGAGGATTCCCAGCCCCATAAACCCAGCAGGAATCAAATCCCAGAACAACATTCCCATGCCAGAGTTGGGAGCTGCAGAGGGATTTTGTTAATGAAAAAGTGTCCCAGGCAGGGAGGAAAGCTGAAAGCAGGCAGCAGGGCTGGCTGGGGAGGAGGGATTTAGGAGCTTGGCAGGATTAAATGAGCAAAGAATTAATGAAAGGGCTCAGAGAGGGGAGGACAGGGCTCCAGGAGGGAATTCTGGTGCCTTGCTGGGTGAAGCCAGTGCTTAACCCAGGATCCTCCTCCCTCCCTGGCAGGAATTCACCCACCCTCAGAGGCACAGCAGAAACCCCAGAGCAGACAGGCTTCATGATTTTAATCATTTTAACATTTTAATGGTTGGAGAGCCAGGGGGACAAAATCTGAGCTGCAGGGTTGGGGTGGAGGGGACACAGAGGGGCACGGGGCATTCCCAGGGCACGCAGGGCTTCAAAACAACTTTTCTGCACCAGCTTTCCAAAGGAAAAGTCTCTGTGTGTCTGTGCCTGCTGGAATCTGATGGAAAAAATGAAAAAAAAATAAAAATCCACAAATAGTTAAAAGGGGCTGAAACCCCAAAGCAAGGCTTGGACCCAAAACCTGCAAGGGGAGCAGGGCAGGAACTCAGGGCTGGTTTTGCTGTGACCTTTGTTCAGGTTTCTGCGAGCTGGTGACTCCAGCCACGCTCCCAAAATTCCCAATTCCTCCAAGGCAGCTCCCTCTCCTGGTGGTTCCTGGTCTTCGTGGGAAAACCACCGGGAGAAGCTTTGCTGCACCTCACCCCAGAATCCAGCCCGGCCCCAGGAACGGCTCCGTGGGGACAAAGGGGACACACACGGGGACACAGCTCCTGCTGGGGCTTCCGAGGGGCTGGCACAGCCCTCGTGTGCCTTTGGCTCCCAAAAACTCCTGAGTTTGAGCCTTCAGGGCCATTCCATCGGGACAGCCACCCCTGCTCCCAGATCCCCGGGAGGGAGGGCTCAGCAGCAGGAGCTGCTGCCCAGCCCCAAAAGGCCACCAAGAGGGACACAGGGGTGTCCTAAAGGCTTCCCAAATCGCAGGATTTGAACAAGGTCCCGCTGGAGGCACCAGGGAAAGGCTCAGCTGGAAGCAAAGCAGGGAGGGAAATGCGGAGGAGCTCAGATGTCAAAGAAATCCACGTGTGCTCCGGAGGGAAAGGAATCCTCCTGCAGGAGCCGGAGCAGCTTCTGGGCTGACACGGAGCTCTCGATGAGCTGCCCCTGCTCCTGCAGCCTCTGGAAGTGCTGGCGCAGCCCCGGGTCTCCAGTCCTGGTCCGGGCCAGGAGCTGCATGTCCGTGTCCAGAGGCCCTGGGGAAAAGGAAAAATCACCCCAAAAAAATCACTTCAGGAGAAAGGAACATCCAGGGCTTGTTTTCCCCTCTGGAGCCAGGCTGGGAGAGCTGGGAATGTTCCCCTGGAGAAGGGAAAAATCCAGGGAATGCTCAGAGTCCCTGGAGGGGCTCCAGGAGAGCTGCAGAGGGACTGGGGACAAGGCCTGCAGGGACAGGACACAGGGAATGGCTCCCACTGGCAAAGGGGAGATTGGGCTGGGATCTTGGCAAGGAATTCCTGGCTGGGAGGGTGGGCAGGGGCTGGGCTGGAATTCCCAGAGCAGCTGTGGCTGCCCCTGGATCCCTGGCAGTGCCCAAGGCCAGGCTGGCCATCGGGATAGTGGCAAGTGGTGTCACTGCCCAGGGATGGGATGGGATGGGATGGGATGGGATGGGATGGGATGGGTTTTCAAGTCCCTTCCCCCCCAACCCAGGCTGGAATTCCACGATCCTGATGGGAGATGGAGTTTGAGTCCAGCTGCTCCTCCCAGCACAGGAAACCGGCCCCCCACCTCTGCTGCAGGGGCAGGAGCAGGGCTGGGCTGCAGGAACGCCCATCCCAAAGGCAGGAAAAGGTGGACAGGCAGCAGGGAGCTGCTCTCCTCACCCGGGGCATAGTTGAGCACACGGAGCCCGGGCTCCTCCAGCGCCAGCACACGGAACATCATATCCCGGGCAGCCTTCCCCGAGCAGTACAGAGCCCAGCTCGGGAAGGGCTCCTGGGCACACAGGGATGAGATGTTCACCACGGTCCTGCTGCAGCCAGGCCGTGCCCCAAAGGCCCTCAGGGCCGTGGAGGTCAGGCAGAGCGCCGAGCTGATGTTGAAGGAGAAGTAGGCGTTGATCTCCTCCAGGTCGGTGAGGTCCAGGAAGGATTTGGAGACGTCTCCCAAGGAGCCTGGGAATCGCAAATGTGGGACGGTTTGGGGTGGATGGGATCTTAAAGAACATCCTGTCAGCAGCCTGCCATGGAAGGGACCCCTTCCACTGGCCCAGGGTGCTCCGAGCCCCAGTGCCCAGCCTGGCCTGGGACACTTCCAGAAAGATGGAAAAATGAGTTGAGATGAGGTCAACCCCTCAGCAGATCCCTCTGGCTGCCACATTCCACACCCAACACCTGCAGAGCTTTGGGGCCAGCCCCTGCCAGGTCCCACAGCAGCCTGAGGAGCCCAGACAGGGGACAGGGACCTGCCCTGCCACCCCTGTGCTGACACAAACAGCTCCCAGCCTGGAGCACAGTGTCCCCAAGGGCCACCATGGCCCTCCTGCAGGTCCCGTGCCAGTGCAGCCCCAAATCCTGGGGTGATTTACAGCCATAATGGCTAAAAGGGCTCCCAAGGCATTAAAGGCACAAGGAGGGACCCCCGAAGGTGGGGCTGGAAGTTTGTCTGAAGCTTTGGATTTGGGGGGCAGGGGGATGAGAAGGTGCAGGAGGGCAACTGGCACAGCAAAGCACTGCCAGGGACACCCCCCGATTAATTCCTTTAATAAACCCACAGCGCGACAGGGGGAAACCCCCGCAGCTCCTTCTCTCTTTTGGGTGATTTGCTGGCACCTCAAGCCCGGAGCAAGCCCCGGCTGTCCCCGGGGGTGCGGAGGGCAGCGGCTCGGGGAGGGGACGGGCGGGGACAGCCGTGTCGTACCGGCGTTGTTGACCAGGAGCAGGCGGCCGAAGGACGCGTCCTGCAGCAGCTCCCGCAGGGCAGCGCCCGCCCTCCGCAGCCCCTGCTCGCAGCCCAGGTCAGCGGCCACGCACCGCACCCGCAGCTCGGTGTCGCCGCCGGTGTCGCCGCCGGTGTCGCCGCCGGTGGCCCCGGCGCGGAGCTCGGTCGCCAGCTCGGCCAGCGCCCCGGCGGAGCGCGCCAGCAGCAGCAGCGCCGAGCCGGGCCCGAGCTGCGGCGCCAGCAGCCGCGCCAGGCTGCGGCCGAAGCCGCGGGAAGCGCCGGTCACCACGCAGGCGGTGGCGGCCCAGCGCTCCGGTCCCGGTCCCGGTCCCGGTCTCGATCCCGACCCCGATCCCGACCCTGACCCCGATCCCGATCCCGATCCTGACCCCGATCCCGACCCCGATCCCGATCCCGACCCCGATCCCGATCCCGACCCCGACCCCGAACCCGATCCGGACCCGGATCCCGACCCCGACCCCGCTCCCGGTGCCCGCTCCATCCCGGAACCCAGCGGAGGGGGCGTGGGAACGCGCCTGCCCACGTGACCCGCCCCATTCATGCCCCCGCCGCTTTGTGAATGGCCGCGCCGAGCGCGCGGGCAGCGCCGCCGGGCGCTGATTGGTCGGTGCCGGCGGGCTCGGCCCGCTGCGCGCTCGGGGGGCGTGGTCGGAGCGGCGCGCCCCCTTGCGGCCGCTGTGAGGGAGTGCGGCTTCCGTGAGGGAGCGGCGGGGCGGGACCGGGACCGGGACCGGGAAAAAGAACGGGAATGGGACCGGGACCGGGAAATGGAACAGGAACGAAACCGGGAGTGAGCCCGGGACCAGCAACAGCCACGGGACCGGGATCGGAACCAGCAAGGAGCGCGAACAGCAGCGGGTCTGGCGATGTGGCTGCGTCCCTGGAGAGCCGGGCCTCGCCTGCCCACAGCGCGGCCGCCCTTGGCCTTCCCCCCGTTTTTTCAATGCACTTTTCAACATATTTTTCAAATAATTTTTAATAAAATTTTTAATCCTTTTAAAATATATATATAAATATATTTCTTTTTTTCCCCGCGGATGTAAATTCCCTTTTATTGTGCCTGCCCAGCCTTGTCCCCACCTGCCTTCCCTCCCCTTTTCCCTCTGCAATCCCAAATTTTGGTACCCAGTGCTTGTACTTTGCTCGGAAGTAAAAGCCTGCTCTGATCACAAAAAGCCCTAAAATAATTTTAAAAAAATAAATACTTCAGTGCACGAAGGTGCAGACAACTTTCAGGGAGGGTTTTTCCAGGGAATACGTGGTTTGTACGGGAAGAGCTCGGCAGCAGCGCTTGGATTCCCAGCTGCTCAATGCCAGGCCAGATGGTTCCAGGCAGGTAACGGAGTGGGATTTCACTCAATTAAGCAGCTACAGACCGGGCTGGAAGCCTCCAGCACTCTAATAAAGCATTAAAAATTCATGGCGTGGCAAAAACCCAAGAGCGCTATTTGTTTTGCTAAAGCGAATCTTACACATTTGGCGGAATTAAGATCGTCAGCAAAAAAAAAAAAAAAAAAAAAAAGACTGCGAATGCGGATTTTTTTCACAAGCAGCTTCTTGATGGCAGAACTTGCTTCAGTTCCCCATTCCAGGTTTGGCAGCTCCAGTCTCCTGCATCCCTCAGGATTGCTGTCCTGGCAGCCACACGGAGCTGGGCCAGCTGGAAATGGGCAGCGTTTGCTGGCCTGCCCTTCCAGCACTGCCACCAGGACATTCCTGATCCCTGCAAGTGTTCAGGGCACTTGGAATTGCCTTTGGAAGGTGTTCCTGCCAGGTAGGGGTTGGAATGGGATGGGCTTTACTCCCAACCCAAACCATTCTGTGGTTCGAGGCAGGAGGGAGGGTTTAGGAAGGATTTTATTTTTAGCTGCTAAAAGTTGCTCCTGCTAAATTAATTTTTTTTTAAAAAAAAATTAAAAATCGGTGGGAGGGAACTGGTGACCAAACGAGCCCAGAGCTGGAACTGGAGACCTGAGAAATTATCATGGAATCCCAGGAGAGTTTGGTTGAGAAGGGATCTTAAAGATCATCTCATCCCAGGGCAGGGATGTCCTGCTGTCCCAGGCTGCTCCAAGGCCAGTCCAGCCTGGCCTGGGACACTGCCAGGGATCCAAGGGCAGCCCCAGCGGCTCTGGGAATGCCATTCCAGCCTCTCCCAGGAAAGGTGAATCTCCGAAATTCCCGAAGCTGCTCTGCATCCCTCCCTCCCGGCGCTGGGGGGACTCCAAGCCCCGGCAGGGATTTGCTGCGGCTGCCAGCTCTGCTGGCGACAGGGACAGATGCCAGGGAATCCTCTGCACCTCCCGGCCGGCACAGAGGCAGACGGAGCTGGATCCGGACACGGAGCAGCAGGAAATCCACAGGGCTCTTCCATCCAGCTCGGGCTCCGCGGGAAGCAGCACTTGGTGTCGGGGAATCACAGAACCCTCGGGGCTGGAAAAGATCGCTGGGATCGGTGAGTCCAAGCATCCAGCACCGCGCCAGCGCTGCCCGTGTCCCCAAGGGCCGCAGGGCTGGGAAAGGCCTGCAGGGATGGGGACTGCAGCCCTGCCCTGGGAGCTTCCAGGGGAGCTTGTGGCAGTGACACCGAGGGGACTGAGGGGATTCCCTAAGGGGGAGCCCCTTCCAGAGGGAAACCGCAGCCCAGGGAGGGGAGCTGGCACTGCCCTGCTGTGACACTGCTCTGCGGTGACACTGCCAGTGACACTGCCTGTGACACTGCCCTGTGACACTGCCCTGCTGTGACACTGCCCTGTGACACTGCCCTGTGACACTCCCTGCTGTGACACTGCCTGTGACACTGCCTGTGACACTGCCCTGTGACACTGCCCTGTGACACTGCCCTGTGACTCTGCCTGTGACACTGCCCTGCTGTGACACTGCCCTGCTGTGACACTGCCTGTGACACTGCCCTGCTGTGACACTGCCCTGCTGTGACACCGCTGTCCCAGAACAGGCAGCCGAGCCGCGGGATTGCCGCTGCCGGGGCAGGGCCGCGTTCCGTGGGCCCCGCCGGGCGCGGCGCAGGGAGCGGCAGAGGCAGGGATGGATGGATGGATGGATGGATGGATGGATGGATGGATGGATGGATGATGGATGGATGGATGAGCCTCGGGCGGCTCCACAGGATGTGCTCATTCCCGGGACTGCCCGCAGCGTGCTGGAGCTCAGCCCCGCAGAGGGAATCTGGGGAATTGCTGCTCCAGGGGCTGTCAGCGCTCCTGGAACCGCGGGGTCTGCCTGCCCCTGTGTGTCTGACACAAAGACAATCCAAAGAACACACTCCAATTTCCGAAGCCTTCCAACTGTTCCTATTCTAGCGTGCAGGCCTTTTACACATTCTTACAAAGCTCATAAATTTACACTTTACTCATTGGTCATGAGACAAACAAAGTGCTCATTGGAACGGGCAGTTGCAGGTTTCTCTTATTTATCCTCCTCTCTTTCTTACTTTCCGTGTCAACGACCTTGGTAGGAAATCCTTTCAGGGTAGGAAATTCTTCAGGGGGTTTCTTTTCAGTGGATCCTCTTATCAAACCCCTCTCTGGCTGGAGACAAACAAAGTGCTCATTGGAACGGGCAGTTGCAGGTTTCTCTTATTTATCCTCCTCTCTTTCTTACTTTCCGTGTCAACGACCTTGGTAGGAAATTCTTTCAGGGTGGGAAATTCTTCAGGGAATTTCTTTTCAGTGGATCCTCTTATCAAACCCGTCTCTGGCTGTAAAACCCTTTCCTCCTGCTCTGGGGAGGGAAAGTGAGCCCTGAGTGTGCCCAGCCCGGCTGGAGCTGGGGGCTTGGCGAGGGCAGCAGGGAGAGCAGGAGGAGAGGAGCGGGGAGCCATCTCCAGGGCTCCAGCCCCCATCCCAAAAGGAGTGCCCTGCCCAGGGTGATCCCCTGAGTGTCCCTGCAGGAGGGGTTGTCCAGGTCTGGCCTTGTTTGATCCTTTCTTTGTGCTGTTAATTCCCGGATTTGTGGCTAAACCCGTGATTCCAGTGGGGAAATGTTTTCCTGAATGGCACTGGAGAAAGCAGATTTGAGCCTGGCTTGGCCTCGTGCCCGCCTGTCACTGCTGGATGGAGGGGAAGAGAGCACGGAGCCACCTGGAAAATCCAGCAGGGAGAAGGGGAAAAGGAAGGAGAAAAGGCAGGAGACCTTGCAGGAGTTGACCAAACCGCAGCACAAAATGAAACACCCAAATAAACACAACAAGCAAGAGGCTGCGAAGTTAAAAACAAAAAAGGAAATAAATTCTGATAATTGTGTTGCTGCTCCAGGGATTTGGGACAGCTGCTCCTGGCTTTGGGAAGTCACGGACAGAGGGCAGTTGTTGAACCAGAAAGGAACTTGCACACAATGTTTCTCCAGCCCTCTGACCCATCACATTGATTTTTTAGGAAGTTTTGGCCCACTAGGGAAGTTCTGGAGGCCTGGCAAACACTGCGAGGTCAGTAATTAAAAGGGGGAGATTTTAAAGCACTACCAGGCTGTTGTCAGGTCCATAAAACCCAATTATATGGAGCTTCATTAAGAAGAAATTAAGGGAACAGAGAAGGGTTAATGGCAGCCAGAAGGGTTTAAGGCCAGTGGAGTCTGTCAGGCAAAGCCAATCTCATTTTTTGGGATTATGAGCCATCTTTGCTACATCCATGTTGGCCTTGCCTGATGATTTGATTAATAAATTCCAACAATACCCATTCAGCATGGTTATGGCAGTGTCTGGGGAGAAGAAATAAATAAATCAACTCCTTGTGGACAGGCTCTCAAACGGGACAAAGTTTGTGTGGCAGCAAATAATGAGGACAAATCCCAGGCAGACGCCAGCAATGAATATTCATGTGAAGGGCTGGCTGCTGGTGGCCCTGGGTGACGCTGTGGCCAGCAGGGCTTGTGGCCCTGGGTGACACTGTGGCCAGCAGGGCTGGTGGTCCTGGGTGACACTGTGGCCAGCAGGGCTGGTGGCTCAGGGTGACACTGTGGCCAGCAGGACTGTGGCTCAGGGTGACACTGTGGCCAGCAGGGCTGGTGGCTCAGGGTGACAATGTGGCCAGCAGGGCCTGTGGCTCGGGGTGAACATGTGGCCAGAAGGGCTGGTGGCTCAGGGTGACACTGTGGCCAGCAGGGCTGGCTGCTGGTGGCCCTGGGTGACACTGTGGCCAGCATGGCTGGCTGCTGGTGGCCACACAAGGTCAGGGAGGAGCAGATGGATGGGGTTCCCTTTGGGTTTTGGTTTTGGGGACCATTTGATTTCCGTTCCTTGCTAATCCTGTCCTGGACTCATCCTCAGCAGCACCAGGGGCTGAGGGAGGGTTGAGGGGTCTCACCCTCTGCCCTGCCCAGGTGAGACCCCACCTGCAGAGCTGCCCCAGCCCCGGGGAGGACGTGGAGCTGCTGCAACCAGGCCAGAGGAGGAACCCCAAGATGTTTTGAGGGTTAGAACAAAATATCTGAACATCGGAACACCTCTGCTCTGGGGCCAGGTGG